AGGGTTTCCATCGTCACAGTTGGAGGATTAGCCTCATAAGCACACACGGAAGCAAGCGGCATTATTTCTTTGATTGCTCCAAAAGCTGCTATTTTAGCAAACAAAGCCTGTGGAGGGTTTTTACCCTCGTCGGGGAAAAAAAGCGAGGATGGACGCTTTGATAAATTAAAAAATTTTTGTCTAACTAACAGAAAAGGGCACTCAACGATCTTTAGTCAGGGTGTAGCTTTCAAAGTTCCCAAAGAACACAATGGATCAGCTTTTTTTTACGGGGTACAGAAAAAACAAATCAATTCCCATATTGTGACCACTTAGTAAAATTCCGAAGTTCGCAAATAAAGGAGTTTCAACAACTAAATCAGCGGGGGACGATGAAGACTTTTTTCGCAATTGATAAATTTTCCCTCTGAAGGTGCCCTTTCAACTAAACATTACCACGGAACGAATGGCAGTAAACCGCTTAAAGACTAATACATTCCATTGAAAAAAGGGTAACGCATAAAGGGGAAATCACAGAAAAAATTTAGTGCTCAGTGTCTGGGTCCTCTGTCAGTCCCCAAGGAACTGTGAGCTGATGACAGGGCAGCAGTAGCCTGAGGGTCTAGTGTCAAAAATCCAAAAGGGTATCACTTGAAATATTGAACATAAGGAAAAAGAAGTTGCAAAAGAACAAAAAAGGAAAAAAATAAGAACAATAAAAAATGAAAAAATTTAAAATTTAAAAAAAAGAGTGCAAAAATTCTGAAAGTAAAAAAAAAATTCAAAGTACACTGCAAGAGGAAGAACAACTCATGAAAAGGATGCGGACAAGATAAAAAAAATTACTTTGAAATTTACAAGTAAAAATATTTTGGAGACGAAAAAATGCAAAATGACTGCAAACCCCTTTCTAATAAAGAAATTAACTAATAAAACTGTAAATCAATGTAAAAAGATAAAATAAAATCACTAAATTATATGCAACGAGAGATAAGGGGAAATTTAAATTTTTTTATAAGAAGCATAAAAAAAATTTAAAATAAATCCAGACATGTCGGGAAAAATAATAAAAGAAAAACAAGACTCAAACAAAATGACGAAATAATAATGCAATAAAAGAAAATAATTCACTGAGAACAAGTGAAAACAAAATAAATGCAGAAAAACACGAAATAATAAAAGTTACAGGGGGAAAAATGTAGGTTTTTAAAAAATAAAATAAAAAATTTAAGAAAAACTGTTGAACACTTTAAATCTAATTGTAAAATTTGACAAAACAATTTTTCAAGGGAAAGAAAACATTTTTTGTTAAAAAAAAAAAAAATTAAAAAAACACAAAATGAATTTGTTCAAAAAAATATGAAAAATATGATAAAAAAAAAACAAGAAACAAAACTGAAGTAAACACTTACAATACGGGGCCCCACAACCTTAAATGGGGGGGCACAATCAACTATTCATTTTTCATTTTTTTTTTTTTTTTTTTTTTGTATATTCTTACAACAAAATTTTTGTGACGTACGACAAAAATTGCTGCAAAAATAATGGTACCAATTTTGCGAAAAAATCAGGGAATGAACACGCTGGGATACGGAAAAAAAACACCACGAAATAAATGGATAATTGGTAACTTGTGTGAATATCACTTCAGAAATACAATGACAAATACAGAGAAACAATGCTGAAAGAACACAAGATAAAAATGAATAAATTATTTCACACGGATGACTGTGTACACTACACAAAATACTTTCTAAAGACATGGAGTAGATAAAAAAAAAAACAGATAAAAATTTTAAAAATGAAACCAAGGAGACAAAACACTGGAAAATATTGCAAAAATAATGATCAAAGAAACACTGAGTCTACACGAAAACACAAACTTAGAGTACGCAAAAAATTCACGTAAAGTCCACACAGCAAAGTCTTTAAATGCAGGAAAAAACTCTTAAAAAAATTAACCCGAAATCGGGGTAGAAGACGGGATGACAAGTGATAGGGGGAAAGGGTTTTCCCCGAGGTGATTACCCTCCTCACTCCACTGTTTTCGGGGGGAAATGCGCTTTCTCGGGAACTCACATAACTGGTTTATCGTGGCGCTCGCACAATCTCTTGACCAATTATGTGAGCCAAAACAGTACTAGGACCCGGTACATCCGTTGAAAAAGAAAAACCCCACAGGTAGATGAGGTGGGTGGCGGGTGGTGGGGGCAGCGGGACAAGCTGGCCCTGTGCGCTCTCACTGCCACGCACTTCTCACCACGCACAAGGTGGCTTAACTAAATCACAATGCCACAGGGATGATGAAGACCACTCTTACCAGCATCCAAGCACAAGCGATACATGAAACAATACTTCAGAGGAACGTGCGTGGCTTACTTCTCTCTCTCAGCTGGGTTAGAAGCTGGGTTGACTGACTGGCTTAACCCACGAGAATGACTGACTGGAAGACGTGTAACGATGCACACAGCATGAAGGAGCAGGTGGATGACAGGAGACAGGCTGGATGGTAGGCTGACTAGCGTTCACTTCCACAGTCTGGCTTACTGACTGGCTTAATTGCAAAATCCGGGTCAACCCCTCAGAGATTGAAGCAATTAGCACACGAACTAAGCCAGGAAGCTTGAAAAACGGCTGCAACAGCCTTTCAGGCTGGAGTACAGGGTGGAGGTGAGTGAGGGTAGCGAGTATCTGGAGGTGGCGGACAGTTCACCTTTGACCTGCCGGCTCCCCACAAACAGTCTTCTAACATCTTGAAATACCCTTAAATCCACTCCCACACCGGTGTCACCATTTGTCATGTGGATTTTCGGTAACGTGGATAGGGTAAGAATTCTCACGTAGGCTGGTAGTACGTATAATATAACGGAAAGTATGGGAAGGCACCAACAGCCGACCTGTCTCTCTCTGCTGGCTAACTACGACTGACTCACAGTGCCTATGGGTGAGGGGGTGTTTGAAATCCTGCTATGGTCAGCAGCAATATGAATACAGTCAGTGATTCACGCAGAGACGGTTGGTAGTGAGTCATCTACTGGTACACTGGTTACTGGTAACTGGTTACTAGGAACTGGTACTACTACTGAGAATGGTACCATATGGTACAGTGGTACTATATGGTACAATGGCACCATATGATTCAATGGTAACATGGTAGAATATGGTACAATGGCACCATTTGGTACAATGGTACCATATGATACAGTGGTACCATGTGCAATGGTACCATATGGTGCAATGGTACCATATGGTACAATGATACCATATGATTCATTGTACCATATGGTACTATATGGTACTGTTGTATTCAACACAATAACCGCACTAACATTTTCATCATTATTTCGTTTACAATAATTGTTTACAGCAAAAATATGCAAAAATGTTGTATATTAGTAATGTTCTATTATATATTTACAAATGTACAGCCACTCGACATGTTCCTTGAGGTGGATGACAAAGCGCTCGTCTTGGAAACTGCCGAGTCACTAGCTAGCTTGCGTCGTCACTCACTCAGTCTTGCCTGGTGGCAGCAACATCTGTAACTGACCATATAGTACATGGTATCATATGTTACAAGGTACCATATGGTACATTGTACTATATGGTATAGGGTACCTTACAGTACAGGATACCTTATGGTGCAGATACAGGGATCCCTATGGAAATAAGTCACCCTGACTTTTTTTGGGTTATCCTAGGATTTTATACATATGCTGTTATGTATGATAATCTATGTAACTGTATTTGTGTACACCTGAATAAACTTACTCAAGCATATGTGGCATCGTAAGTTTATTTAGGTATACACAAATAAAGTTACATAGATTATCATACATAGCAGCATATGTTTGGAGAACCTAGGATAACCAAAAGAAGTCAGACAGACTTATTTCCATTAGGGTCCCTGTACCCTGTACCATATGATACAATGTACCATATGGTATAATGTACTGTATGGTACAATGTACTATATGGTACATTGTACCATATGGTACCATTGTACCATATGATACCATTGTATGACATGGCACCATTGTACCATATGGTACAATGGTACCATATGGTTCAAAACCATAGAATTCCTCTTCAGATCCACTTCCATCGGTCTTAGAACTTTAAGTTGTGAAGAGGAGAGTCAGAATTCGCCCGGAGAGTGAGTGAGGAGTGAGAGCTTCCTTGCCGCCAGGCATGATGAACAAAGCTACTTTGGTTGCGTTCCCACAGTGCCATGCAGTCGTTCAGATTTTTTCTGTAGTGTGAACACTGACCACCCAGACCCATTCTCTCAGATGTAGGCCTACCAGCCTTCTTGCGCTAAATTTGAAGCCGCTAGAATTTTGGCGTAGATCTATGGTTTGGACCCTCATCGTAAAGCTGTAGATCTACGGCACGGACCCTGAAAGGGTTAAATCAGAATATTAAAAAATAGCAATAAAAATGTACAAAAGTACTTTCGTGTACACCTAATATAGTACTGTACACACGCTGCAGGAATATTGCAATAAACATTGAAAAGTACAATTTAACCAGTGGATTTTGTCCATAGTTTTAAAAGTTCATTATGTTGAGGGTTTATAATGCAATTTTTTTGCAAATATAATTTGAAGAAATTTATCCAGAATTGAACAACACTTGTAAATTGAATAACTCTTGTTATTCACTTTACAAAAGAATCACACTATACAAACTTAGTATAATTAATATACATATGCGACAGTTAGGTATCTTTATTTCGAAACGTTTCGCCTACACAGTAGGCTTCTTCAGTCGAGTACAGAAAAGTTGATAGAAGCAGAAGAGATTTGAAGACGATTACATCGTCTTCAAATCTCTTCTGCTTCTATCAACTTTTCTGTACTCGACTGAAGAAGCCTACTGTGTAGGCGAAACGTTTCGAAATAGATACCTAACTGTCGCATATGTGTCTTACCTAACAACCTGTCGGTATTTTATACCATTTTAATGTTCAATAATTAATATAATTGTCTTTATTTATGTGTAATAATTGGTCATTACAGGTGTTGATGTAACCGACACGGACATTGTGATAGCTGTCAAGTCCGAGCCAATACCCATTACTTCCAGGTTAGCAGTAAGGTGTTTTACATTTAGTTTACTTGTGTTGTCTATGAACAAAAATACCTGAGCACTGTCATGCACCTACACAAACTAGGAGTGTCTAGTTGTTTGTGTAAATGCACAAAAATGATGGGTGTTTTTTTTGTTTTATTAACTTTTTGAAAGATGTGGTCATGCACTTTTATAGCAACCTTTTCCCATATTTTCATGAAACTTACACATTGTTTCCATTATATATTCAGTTCTCTTATACAGCTTCTCCTTAAAATGCAATTTTTTTTAAATGTGATTGAAAGAGTATGTCAGAAATTTTGTAGCACATGGAAGGTCTTACCAGTACACACTGTTCATTTTTTTATGCTTTTTTCAGTTGCATTTGCTAAAAATTGAACTATATCTTGACTCACAAAATTGTAATAAAACAATTGCAAGCCAGGGAATGGGTGAGGTTTGAACCCATGGTGGGCGAGTCCTAAAACTCCTGGCCATAGGTTCAAATTCCACCTGTTCCATGGTTTAATTGAACTGTGTACAGGTAATTTATAAGAGAGCAGACTGTATTATATGTATGTTAACTTATGCTTGCATTGTTATTGAAATATTATAATTCAGTTTTCAGTACTGTAATATAGTATTTTCCTTACTATAAGTCTCTCTTCTCCATGGGGAAGTGGAACAGAATTCTTCCTCCGTAAGCCATGCATGTCATAAGAGGCGACTAAGTTAAAAAGAGAAACTTTTGTTTTTTCTTTTTGGGCCACCCTGCCTCGGTGGGATGCTGCCGGTTTGTTGAAAGAGGAAGAGTCTTCTCCCTAAAGAATGAGAACTACTTAACCCCTTCAGGGTCCAAGGCCAAAATCTGAAGTGGTGCTCCAGTGTCCAAGAAATTTTGAAAAAAAAAAAAAAAAAATTTCTTACAGAATTAAAGAGTATATTTTTGTGAAGGTAATAAGACAAAAAAAAATTTCTGATCAGTACTTACCGAGATACAGTGGCGGGAAGTTGACCCAAAATGACCGGGTGGCGGCAACATCAGTGACTTCCGCAAAACCCCATTTTTTTATTTTACGGTTTTTATACTTTTTTCTTTTCTTTTCTAGTTTTTTCTTTTTCTAATAACATTTGTGGCCTGTGAGACCAGTATAATGTATATTGTATAAGTTAACACTCATTGTATTCCACGCAATAACTGCACTAATTTGTTTATCATTATATTGCTTACAAAACTTGTTTACAAGTTTATTGTAAACAAAATGATGAAAATATTAGTGCAGTTATTGTGTTGAATACAATGGTACCATGTAGTACCATATGGTACAATGGTGCCATAGGGTGCAATTGTACCATATGGTACAATGGCACCATATGATACAATGGTACCATATGGTACAATGTGGCACAATGGCACATGATACAATGGTACCATATGGTACAATGGTACCATATAGTACAATGGTACCATTTGGTACAATGGCACCATTTGGTACAATGGTACCATATGATACAATGGTACCATATGATACAATGGTACCATACGATGCAATGGTACCTTATGGTACCATATGGTGTAATGGAACCATATGGTACATTGTACCATACAGTACAATGATACCATATAGTTCATTGTACCATATGGTACTGTTGTATTCAACACAATAAACACACTAATATTTTCATTATTATTTTGTTTACAATAGTTGTTTACAACAAAAATATGCAAAAATGTTGTATATTAGTAATGTTCTATTATATATTTACAAGTGTACAGGAACCTGACGTGTTCCTTGAGGTGGATGACAAAACACTTTGTCTCGGAAACTGGAGAGTCAGTAGCTAGCTTGCGTCGCCACTCACTCAGTCTTGGCTGGTGTCTCATGCCACCAACACCTATTGACCATATGGTACACGGTATCATATGTTACAGGGTACCATATGGTACATTGTACTATATGGTATAGGGTACCATGCAGTACAGGATAACATATGGTGCAAGGTACCATATGGTACAGGGTACCATATGGTACAGGGTACCATATGGCACAGGGTACCATATGGCACAGGGTACCATATGGTACAGGGTACCATATAGTACAGGACACCATATGGTAGAGATACAGGGATAACTATTGAAATAAGTCACCCTGACTTTTTTGGGTTATCCTAGGATTTTATACATATTCTGTTATGTATGATAATCTATGTAATTGTATTTCTGTACACCTGAATAAACTTACTCAAGTGCATGTGGCATCATAAGTAAGTTTATTTAGTTATACACAAATAAAGTTACATAGAATATCATACTTAGCAGCATATCTCAAGAAATCGTAATGACACGATTGCAAACAAACCATACCCCGGCTGGGATTGAACCCGCGGTCATAGAGTCTCAAAACTCCAGCCCGTCGCGTTAGCCACTAGACCAGCTAGCCACAATAAGATTCATCCAACTAGGTATATTTCTACACCATAGGAAGGTTAGCACAGGCACCTCTGTGACCACAAATGCAAGTTTTTACAGACGAATCTCCAGCTAGCGTGGCCGTGACGAACTCTAGCTCAAGTCCCTTCACTGCCGTCAACATGACTCAAGAAATCGTAATGACACGATTGCAAACAAACCATACCCCCAGCTGGGGTTGAACCCGCGGTCATAGAGTCTCAAAACTCCAGCCCGTCGCGTTAGCCACTAGACCAGCTAGCCACAATAAGATTCATCCAACTAGGTATATTTCTACACCATAGGAAGGTTAGCACAGGCACCACTGTGACCACAAATGCAAGTTTTTACAGACGAATCTCCAGCTAGCGTGGCCGTGACGAACTCTAGCTCAAGTCCCTTCACTGCCGTCAACATGACTCAAGAAATCGTAATGACACGATTGCAAACAAACCATACCCCCGGCTGGGATTGAACCCGCGGTCATAGAGTCTCAAAACTCCAGCCCGTCGCGTTAGCCACTAGACCAGCTAGCCACAATAAGATTCATCCAACTAGGTATACTTCTACACCATAGGAAGGTTAGCACTCTATGACCGCGGGTTCAATCCCAGCCGGGGGTATGGTTTGTTTGCAATCGTATCATTACGATTTCTTGAGTCATGTTGACGGCAGTGAAGGGACTTGAGCTAGAGTTCGTCACGGCCACGCTAGCTGGAGATTCGTCTGTAAAAACTTGCATTTGTGGTCACAGTGGTGCCTGTGCTAACCTTCCTATGGTGTAGAAATATACCTAGTTGGATGAATCTTATTGTGGCTAGCTGGTCTAGTGGCTAACGCGACGGGCTGGAGTTTTGAGACTCTATGACCGCGGGTTCAATCCCAGCCGGGGGTATGGTTTGTTAGCAGCATATGTTTGGAGAACCTAGGATAACCCAAAAAAGTCAGACAGACTTATTTCCATTAGGGTCCCTGTACCCTGTACCATATGATATAATGTACCATATGGTACAATGTACTATATGGTACATTGTACCATATGGTACCATTGTACCATATGATACCATTGTACCATATGATACCATTGTATGACATGGCACCATTGTACCATATGGTACCATTGTACCATGTGGCACAATGGTACCATATGATTCAAAACCATAGAATTTGTCTTCAGCTCCACTTCCATCAGTCTTAGAATTGTAATTTGTGAAGAGGAGAATCAGAATTCACCCAGAGAGTGAGTGGGGAGTGAGAGCATCTTGCCGCCAGGCACTATGAACAAAGCTACTTTGCCGGCGTTCCCACAATGCCATGCGGGCGTCCAGATTTTTTCTATGGTGTGCACACTGACCACCCAGACCCATTCTCTCAGATGTAGGTCTACCAGCCTTCTCGTGCTAAATTTGACGCCGCTAGAATTTTGGCGTAGATCTACGGTTTGGACCCTGAACGTAAAGCCGTAGATCTATGAGACGGACCCTGAAAGGGTTAAATGTTTATATACATAGCAATTACTCTCTTATCCCAGATAAATGGGACCAAGGGTGTTTTAAGGAATTTAATTTCTGGTAAAAACATTGATTTTTTATTTAATTATTTACAAATTTATTTGGTTTAGAAAGACACATAAGCAAACAGTATGACATATTTATTAGAAAACATTTTGGTCTTGGGACCTTGATCACTTCCCAAGGTCCCAGGACTGTGATCAAGGTCCCAGGACTGTGATCAAGGTCCCAGGACTGTGATCAAGGTCCCAGGACCGAAACATTTTCTAATAAATATGTCACAGTGTTTGCTTACATGTCTTTCTAAACCAACTTGTCGGTATTTATTACCAAGGTTTATACCACAAATTTATTTCTTCACTTGAGTATTCTAATAATTTTGATACCATTTGTCAGTGCATTTGATCCCAAAAACAGGAAAAAAAATCTTTCTTACAAACTCACAGTGTAGAAGAAACATGTTTAATTCCTGCATATTTGTTTTAAACAAATATCAGCCAGTCATCTATGCATTAAATGAACACACAAAATAATATATTTGTTAACCCTTTTGGAGTGGGTGCCATAAAACAAAACAAAACAACATTTCACAAATTGTAACCTTTGCAAAGAACCATAGTACTAAAGCTTTGAACTTTGGATCAGTGCCATAGTACTATGCCATGAGCTCAGCTCTCTCAGGTAAGTTGTGAGCAGAAAATTGTGGGCCTAGATGTGAGAGAATGGGTCTGTTGGATAAGTGTGCACCATATAGAAAAATCCTGGGAAAAAACTGCAACCAAGTTTTGATTTAAAACTGCCTTTAAAGTGTACTTTTGTATGGTTTTTATGGTTGTATTCTTGGTCTCAATTGATAGAATGGAAGGTATATTACAGAATTAGAGATGATGTTGATTGGTTTCTGGACTGAAAGTAGCTTGAAACTGAGCTCAGATTTGTGGAAATGTTCGATTTTTGCTGATATTCCAGAGTACATAAATTACATCACTCATCCAATACGTGTCCAACTGGTCGGTCTGATACACGTTCACAAATACACTGACATTGTTTATACA